TTAAAAGGCTAACCTGGTCTACAGAGTGAGTTCCAGGACAGCCGGGGCTACATAGATGAAACCCCCTCTTGAAATTTTTTCCTTTATCATATTAACATATATTAACTGCATAAAATAATGGGTTTCCTTCTGACATGCTCATAGGCATCTATGATGCACTTTGATCATATTAACTCTTATTTTCATTTTTTTTAATCTATATTTACAAGCAAGAGAGAAACATGTCATATTTTTCTGAGTTCGGCTTGTTACGTTAATACAACGATTTCCATTTCACTTTGTTTCCCTCCAAGCATTTCATTCTTCTTTACGGCTAAATAATACTCCACTTAGTAGGCTTTCTGCCCCTCCCCATAGGTTTCTCCTCAGACTGTGAGCTAGATCAAGCCAAACTGACAACGCATAGCAACAGGCGTATTGAGCAAAGCCACTCTGGGGTGGGTTTTCCCGTCCAAGAGATCAAGGCCGAGAAGTCATACACCTGATCCAGGGCAGGAAAGTTTTATAGACTGTAGATGAGGAGTGATGATGTGTCTGCCACAGCCTGGGTTTGTGACCAAGTATGGTCAAGGGCTGAGCACTTAGATGGGGCTTAGAAAGCTGGCAACTTCAGGGGAAGCTGCACTAGCCACCAAGAATTTGGGATGGGGCTTTATGGAGCTTTTTGGTGCCTTTTCTTTGTTTACAGACTCTCTGAGTGTGCAAGGTTTGGAGAGAGGGGGAGGGAGGGAGAGAGAAAGAGAGAGAGATGGAATGGGGCTTCCAGTACCATGCAGGGGGAGCCAGAGGTTCCAAACAAACACCACTCTGTATGTATGCTACTCTGCCTCTATTCATCTCTTATGGACATCCAGGTTAATTCAATAACTTGTCTACTGTGAATAATACCACAATGAACACAGATGTGCCAGGACCTTTATTGTCTTAGGTCATAATGGGTGTTTAACCAGGAGTGCTACAACTAGATCAAATGGTAGTTTCACTTCTAATTGAGGAACCCTAGGGATTCCTTTTTAGGCACCTGTACTAGTGAATTTTTTGTCACTGTAATGAAATCTTTGATATTCAGCAATCAGCTTCGGAAGTTTGAGCCTAACCAACAAAGAGCAGCCTCTTTAGCAAGGGTAAAGGTGAGACCTGGCCACTCCCTCCAATGACTCAAACACCTTCCCTAGGCCCTACCACATTTTAAAGCTTCCACTGCCTTCCAACAGTGTCATCGTGGAGACCAAGCCTCTGTGACCTTTGGAAGGCATAATTAAACCATACCCAAACCATAGCAAGACCACAGTAGAGACTTACCATACTGGTGAGAGAAGCTTTTCTCACCTCTCAGGGAGCAGTGAGCAACTAATCCAGGGAGAGTCATAAGAATTCCCAGATTCCCCTTTAACAGTCAAGAATGCTGACCTGGTCACCAGGAGAGGAGTTGAGGGACGGAGGCTGACAGCTGGTGTTCACAATCCTGTCATTGCCAGCAGGACAGTGGTTTGCCCACTCTACCAGAATGTAACCTTGCTGTCTGGTCCAACAGATTACACAAAACACAACTATTTGTTCTCCTTTGTTTGCCACGGGCAACTGACTCGAAAGCTTTGCTCCAAGGGCAGCTACTGTGTCCCATTGCCTTCTTCCTCTCTCCCTGTCTCCAGAAAGAATGCTAGGAGTCATTGTCAAGGGACTAGAGGAAAATAGACAGACAGAAATACGCATGCGGTGTACACACACACACACACACACACACACACACACACACACGAGAGAGAGAGAGAGAGAGAGAGAGAGAGAGAGAGAGAGAGAGAGAGAGAGAGAGAGAGAGAGAGAGAGAGAATGGTGACTCATGGGGCGTAGGGGGAAGTGGGGGGGTTATCCAAAGCTAGAACTTCTGACACCCTTGGAATGCTGTCTCTTTAAGCCATCACAGTCTCTCTCTCTCTCTCTCTCTCTCTCTCTCCCCCTGCCATCCTTCCTCCCTCCCCCTCCCTCTCTCAACGTCATTGGTCTCAATTGTCTCCAATAGCAAAACAGAGAAATACACTGCACCAAAGAGGACAGGCGGTAGCCCTGAAGCTGACTCCGTCGCCCGGTTCAGGAGAATTGCCAGAAAATGGCGGCTTTGGGTCCCCTGCTCAGAGGGGGCATCAAGGCGACTTAGCCGACCTGCCAGAGGAGGCGAGAGAAGGAAGGCCGAGGGTAGAAAGCATGTGTACATGTGTACATGCTTTCCATCAGGAGGTAACTGCAGCACACAGGCCGGCAGAGGGGAGTCTGAGGCTCCTGTGTTAGTCTGGATTTCTGTTCCTGTAAATGTCATTTTCCTTCCTTGAAAAAATATAATTTCTAAAAGTGCCCCCATCCCAATAGAAGAGGATAAAAATCTAAGCTATCACTGGGAGGTACTGTCACCTAAGCGTTAATGTTGCATCCATCGCTAGGTTTATGGTTGCTACACCTATAGCCGAAGACAGGCTACCAAGAGAAAGCACACAGAATCATTTAAGTTTCCCGTGCAAGGGACTCTACAGACGTGAAGAGGTGAAGAGCGAGGAGGCAGGGAAGCTTATCAAACGCCAGGCTCGGGCTGATGGAAAGCGGCCAATGGCGGCGTACGGCTGGAGAACAAGCTCACACAGCAGAAGGGTAATGCCCAGGGGCCTGCAGGGCCTCCGTGTTCTGTGCTCAAGGCAGTTGGCTGTCCCCATCTGGGGTTCTGCTTGAGAGGAGGGTCAGAAAACCCTTCCTGAGTTTCGTGACTGCCTCAGGGGAGAAGGGGTAGGGACAACTTCTACTGTTTTGTTTTGTCTTTTTTCATGTGTCAACACTGAGGTGGAGGCCCTAAACTGGGTCAGTGGATGGGTCCATAACACCAAGTGTGTCACTGTGTTTTATCCCCAGGTCAAGGCCAGCTTTAGAACAGGAGAATGCTGCTGGGAGAGCGGTTATGGCTTGGGAACATGATATCCAGTGACTTTCTACAGGCCAGTAACGGAAATTGGCAGAGTTCTTTTTGATCCGTGTTAATGAGGTGGTTATATTCCGTTTGGCAGCCAGTTACCTCTTCCTGGTTCTGCACTCTCAAACTACAGCGTTTGTTGTTTGTTTGTTTTTACCCACTATGGCAGGTTGCACTTGGCTTTGGCTTGGCCAGTCAATACCTGCTCTGCCCTTGCCCTCACAGTCTCAGGGATGGGAATGCCTTGCTACTCATGATCCTGTCTCAGAGAAGCACAGCCGATGATGCAAAATTCGTTTTCATACTTATGTTCAGTTAACAAATTCCCTGAAGCCTTTGTCACATGTTTTATAGAGATGTGCTTGCCTGTGAGAGGCTTCCCCACAGGCCCTTCTCCAGGGAGCAGGCAAACAAAGCCAGAAGCATGGAAGCCAAAGTGATTATTCAGGCCCCAGTGACAAGGGGGGGAGAGACAGAAAGGAAAAGATATGCACAATTAGCAGCCTGGTCAGTTTGCAGACACAGCTGGGTTAAGCCTCCTGCGATTTCCCTGAATACTTGGAGGGGGGCTTTGTAGCAAATTTTAGCTTTTTATACATGGTGGCTGCAAAGAAAATAGAGTTACTGCTGTTGATTGACAGAGTGGTGTAGCAGCTATTTTTATGCGAGGCAAAGCTTTTGTGGGAGAGAGGAGGCGAAATGTCTTTAGCTTCAGCAGTCTCTGGTTCCTGGGTAAACCCAAGCTCATGCTCTCTCTCTCTCTCTCTCTCTCTCTCTCTCTCTCTCTCTCTCTCTCTGGTCACAAAAGTGCCTTGGCTCTAGCACAGGGATATCAATGAGAAAAACCAAGCAAATGTCCCCACATTTTTTTTTCTTTCTCTTTTATAGCCATGGTTAGTGACTGGATTTTAAAAGAAGATCCCAAAGCATGAAGTAGGGGGCTTGGGCATCCTGATTTGCATATTAATGCCAAACCTGTGTGACTTACGCCCACCCAGTTATTGTGAAGGTTGCTGCCAAGAGCTCAGCTTTCCCGTGACCTCATGCAGCAGTTTTGAGGGGGCCTTATGCAGCAGCTCTGCAAAATGAGAAAGCCCCACTGCTCCCCGCATTTCATGGAGCACAGGGAGCAACAGCTTCTCCAAGTGGCCAACTGGTTCCCCTGTGCTTCCTCTTTATAAAGTGGGGCAGACTAGACAGATAGAGACAAGTTTCTTTTATACCTTAGAGTATTTTTGATCACGTAAAACTTGCATGTATCAGTGACTGTTTACCTCCCAGACTGCTCTGGGTTATCACCATGCCTGACAGAGCTGGTTTGATCTCTCCTGTTCCTTCAGACTGAGGCGACTGTTCACGCCACAGGAGACATGCTAGGTAGGCTTTGCTCATTTATGGGTGATTCTTCTGGGGAGAAGAGGGAGGAGCTGCTACCAAGGTTTAAGTTCAGGCAGAAGCTGAGGGGCTCCTGATGAGATTTTTTTTAATGAGCACCAGGCACCTCCTAGTGTCCACTTGATAGTGCTTTGTGAAGGAGTTGGATCAAGGTGTGGGAGAAGGAGCGCTTAGGAGAAGTCGTGGGATGAAAGAGGGTCTGGTGTAACAGTGTCTTGGCCAGTGTCTTGGGAGCCACGGTCTTGCACTCAAACACAATGCCTCGGAGTCACAAGTCAGGTCTTCCTTGTGGGTCATCAGGAGACCAGCCAGGCTCAACAGCAAAAATGAAGTTAGATTTGAGAGTTCGAGACCAGAGTTCAGCACTCACCATGTCTCCAGGGCGGAAGTGAGTCTTTTAAGCATTTCATCTGTCTGAGGGCGATGTTCAAAACGGTGACTGCAGTGCGTGTATTTGAGGAGAGACACGTGAAGCATCCTTCCCAGTTCCATCTCTCTTGCCTTTCCTAACGTAAGTTTGAAAGGCCCTCTGCAGACTATATTTGTGAATGGCTATTTCTATCCGCTAAATATAGTAAGAGAGGTTTTTTTTCCAGTTGTTTTCTGTTCTAATTGATTTTTGATTTTTTTTTTCTGGGACAGCACCTCAGAACATAGTCCAGGCTGGTCTTGAACTTATGATCCTCTTGCTTCACCCTCCTCAGTGCTAGGATTGTAGAAACATGCCACCATACTTTGAAGTTTAAATGATTTTTGCTAATTCATTATTTGTGTCCTTGAGCACAACACCCAGTCTTTTCCAAGCCTAGCTTTCTTACCTGGAAAACGAGGCCTCCAGGTGTCACTTAGTTTGTCATAAGATTGTTGAGAAGATTCCGGGCCATGCATGCATACAGCACACATCCACATAAAAGGCGTCTAATAATGGTCTCTTTCTTCTGTTCTCCGCTCACTCTTTCTGACTTATTTTGGGTTCCTACAGCAGCTTGTGCAAGCTTCCTTGGCGTTTTTCAGAAGCGCCGATGATCTTGCTTCACTTCCTGCTGAAATGGAGACGCAGCTGCGTCTTCAGCCATCCGTAGCACAGCGGCAGAGATCTTACAACGGCTCTGCAAGGAGCCGGCTCTCTTGCTCCTCGGCGGGGTTTCTGTGAAGATGGCTGCAACCAGAAGCTACAGGTTCTGCAGTCATTTTTGTTTTCCCTCTGGCCTTTCCTTCTTCTTCTCGCCCTCCAGCCGTTTTAAAGATTGACTTTGTTTTACATTACGTATGTGTGTGTGGGGGCATGTGCCCATGTATGCCAGTGTCTGTGGAGGCCAAAGGTATCACATCCCCCTGGAGCTGGGGTTATAGGCAGCAGGGAGCTGCCGGGTGTGGGTCCTGGGCATTGATCTTGTGTTCTCTGTAAGACTAGCAAGGGCTCTTCACTGAGCCGTCTCTCTGTCCCTTCTTCTTATTTTGGGGGACAGGGTTTCACTCTGTGGCCCAAGCTGCTCTAGAACTCACTATAGCCTTGAGCTTAAAGCTATTCTCCTACCTCAGCTCCCCAAATCTTGTGCACGTGTGAGCTACCAGATCTGACCTGCTCGTTTTTCATGAAGTCTCTCTTACCACCACTGGGCTACTTTGTTACCTGAAGAAAGAATGGGGCCTCCCCAGTTTGTTTCCTCTTTAAAAAAAATATCATGGTAACTTTGTCACAATGTTCAGGCTGAGGGTGGAAATCCAAGTTCAAGACCATAAACTGGATACGGTGGTGCACACTTAATGATCCCAGCTTCCAAGGGGCTAAGACTAAAGCCGTGTTAGGAGTTTGAGGCTGGCTTAGGCTACAAAAACAAACAAACAAAAACAAAAAAAAGAAAACCTTTGTCTAAAAAAAAAAAAGAAAAAGTAAACAAAACAAAGGCCCAAACCACCACTCTGCCCGCAGTGTTTCCTGTGGTATTCACTTTCATTACATGAAGTTAGCCAAGTACAAGGACAGTTTTGCTGTATCATTACCTGGGAAAGCAACATGGTTCATGGACTACAATGGCAATCGGTGTCAGACTGAAAGCCACTGAAAACTGTGTGAGAACAAGATGACTGTGGCCATTAGTTTTTGATAACGACAGTATTTAGAATTCAAACCCTACATGAGTTGACTTTGATGGTAGAAGATGAAGCGTCTATTTTGTTTTCACGAGACAGGGTTTCTCTGTATTGTTTTGGAGGCTGTCGGTCCAGCCTGGCCTCGAACTCACAGAGATCCGCCTGCCTCTGCCTCCCGAGTGCTGGGATTAAAGTCGTGTGCCACCACCGCCAGGTGAAGCTTCTATTCTTGTAAGAAAGACTAGAGCTTTTTCTAGGAGAATGCTGACAGTGAGGCCGGCAGTCTTAACTGCTGCTCTGGTTCTAAGATGTAGGGCAAATTGTGAAACCCACCCAGACTCTGCTTTTCTTCATAGGAATTTTGCAAGGCTGTTGTATAAAGGTTAAATGAGACAACCGTGCATGCAATGAACACAATTTAATTAAGAATTAGCAATTACATTACATAGAGTCTCGTTACGTAACAGTTGTTCAACACTGGGCAGCAGCCATCATCCTTGTCACCACCAACATCACCTTTGCCATCATCTTGATTCTGCAAGTGTTCGGGAGGAGGCGCTGGGCTTACTTCTCTGTTCTTGTCACTCTCTGAGGTCAGTTTTCTCACTATGCAATAGAGCCCTCCTATCATTTCCCAAATACAAGAAACCCATCCCTTCCTGCCCAAGTTTGACTCTGTCCTGAATCTGGCAAAGAACGTGTCCCCAGTCCCCCCACTTTTCCAGTACGCTGTTCCCTTTTCTTTGAAATTACCTGGTACAATTCTCTTTGAAATTACAAGGTGAGTGAGAGACTCAAAGGCCTTGCAGTTCTGCAACCCCTGGTACCCTAGCATCCTTTGAGGCCTGTCCTTCAGCCTCTAACTCTACTTCCCCATCTGCACAGTGTCACAAGGTAGGACCCTGCAGAAGCGACACTGCGAAAATGATGAGTGACGATGTTTTAGCCCCCACACCCTGATTCTTCTTTTCACCATTCAGTGGGCCCTTCCTGTCGCACTTACAAAACCGAGAAGAACAAAAGTCACGACACACTCTTGTTCTTGCCATTGGCCAGCCTAGCTGAGTCACAGGCTGAGATGAGCTCTGCCACGAACCTAAGTTCATTTTACTATGTGCCTACAACATGAAGAATGCAGACGGACAGCGGTGGCACACACCGCTTTAATCCCAGCACTCGGGAGGCAGAGGCAGGCGGATCTCTGTGAGTTCGAGGCCAGCCTGGTCTACAAGAGCTAGTTCCAGGACAGACTCCAAAGCCACAGAGAAACCCTGCCTCAGGGGAAAACAAAAACAAAAAACAAACAAACAAAACCCCCCAAACCATGAAGAATGCCTGGCATTCCTTTGCAGTATGCCAAGATTTGACAAAAGCCACTGTCCAGTTTTTAAGACTGAGCTAGTTGCTTTCTTTGTCTCTACTCTCCAACTAGCGTTCAAGCCAAGGTGAGTGGCAGCACTGGTTTCTCGCTAATGGTGTTTCACTTATGAGTCTTTCTCCACGACCCCGTGAGAAGTGCTCCCACACAGATTCCTCATGAAGACTAAAACAAGGTCTGTTTTTATTATTTATAAGTTGTATGTACCTGTATGTGTGCATGCATGTAGGCACCCATGGAGGCCAGAAAGGGCACTGGATTCCCTGGAACTGGACTTACATGGGTGGCTGTGAGGGACCCAAAGCGTGCTGGCAGGAACCGAACTCAGGTCCTTTGTAGGAAAAGAGTGTCCTTTTAACCACTGTGCTGTCTCTGCAGACCCTCACAAGGATTTTAAAGGAAGTTTCTGAGAAATGAGAGGCAAGAAGATTAAGGATGCTTTTATTTCACTAGTGGCTTAGACAACAGACCAGACTGGCCTGCAACTCACAAGGATCCGCCTGTCTCTGCCACCCGAGTGCTCAGATTAAAGATGTATGCTACCACCGTCTGGCTTAAATGTCTCTTTCTTATGAGTACACCAATCCTATTGGAGTAAAGTCCACTCTAAGACTTCATGTTTTGTTCTTTTTGATTTTTTTAGACAGGGTCTCTGTACATAGCCTTGACTGTCCTGGCACTCACTCTGTAGACCAGTCTGGCCAGGAACTCACAGAGATCCCCTGTCTCTGGCTCCCCATTGCTGGGATTAAAACTTTGTGCTACAAAGACCAGTTTTAAGATTTCCTTTTAAGCCGGTTTATCTCTACAAAGACTCTGACTTTAGGCAAAGTCAGATTTTGAGATACTAGGGCTTTAGAAACCCAGACAGCTTCCACCTGTCATTTCCAGGCACTAATCATTATGATAGCTCCATTTCCTCACAGCAGGGAAGTGGTTTGTTAACAGAGAACTTTTTTCCCTCCCCCTGTGTAGTCCTGACTGTCTTGTAACTCACTGTAGATCAGGCTGCCCTCCAACTCGGACATCCACCTGCCTCTGTCTCCTGAGTTTTGGGACTAAAGGTGTGTGCCACAATTTCTGGCTAAAACGTTGGCCTTTAGAGTCACATGGAACAACTTTGTTGATAGTACTTTTAGCCAATAGTGAGTGAGTTGATCTTTGCACATCAGTATACAAAACAGAAAGGATGGACTTAAGGAAAAAAAGCAAGGAGAGTTTCAGTAAATGTCCAGCATTCGCATTGTTGGAAGGAGGCACATGCCTGGAGGTCAGAGGACAACTGTCAGGAGTCAGTTCTCTCCGTCCAGCACGTGAGTTCCGGTGATCAAACTTGTGCCATCAGACTTGGTGGCAAGCGGGTAAAGAACTGCTGAGCCATCTCACTAGCTCCGGTGTCTAACGTTTTGAAACCATGACTGGTCATGTCATGGGCCCGTCTCTCAGTGAATCACTCTGGGAACTAGGTAGCCCTGCAGGGCAATGTGGCATTTTCTAAATGGCTGCTTAAAAATAATTACTTGGATCCCTACAGAGGTTCAACTCACCATGGAAACCATTTATTCGGGGATGGATGATCCCATTAGCAATAACAAGAAAGAATGTGCGCTATCTTTGATACACACACACACACACACACACACACACACACACACACATGCACGCACACACAGCTGAGCTACTGTGCCCCTCAGGTTGTGAGCCTCAGGTTGTGAGCTGCTCCCGGAACATTTCCAGCTTCCTTCTCTTGTGCTAATCTTGGGGCTTCCTCTAAAAAAGGCCAGAAGTTACATTAACCTTGTCTAGATTTCTCTTCCCTCCCCTTTTAGTACAACCTGCTTTTTTTCCTGTTGGAGGCTAAGGCAAGCTTTCAAGGCTTGGAGGAATACAGTTTCACATCTTGTCACAGCTGGGATAAGACACATCTGAATTGTTTCCTCGGGCTTTAGAATCTACAAGTTTAGCTATTTATGGACAGGTCTGTGCCATTCTGAAGAAAACCCCTTTCACAATAGTAGAATCAGAGGAGTTAAGAATTTGTAAATTCCACCAGGCAGTGGTGGTGCACACCTTTAGTCCCAGCACTTGGGAGATAGAGGCAGGAGGATCTCTGTGAGTTTAAGACCAGCC